AAAAGGAATGGCATACAGTGGTGCCTCGCTTAATGACAATCCGTTCCAGGAAAATCGCCGTTAAGCGAAAACATCGTAAAGCGAAATAAAAAAACCCATTGAAACGCATTGAAACCCGTTCAACGCGTTCCAGTGGGGTAAAAACTCACCGTCCAGCAAAGATCCTCCATACGGGGGCCATTTTCGCTGCCTGTATAGTGAGGAATCCGTCCCTAAACACAGCGGGGAGCCATTTTAATTACCCGGTGGCCATTTTGAAACTGTCGATCAGCTGTTAGAAAAACATTGTTTTGCGAAGAATCGGTTCCCGAAGCAGGGAACCGATCATCGCAAAGCGAAATCCCCCCATTTAGACCATCGTTTTGCGATCACAAAAAGATCGTCGTAAAGCGTATTCGTCGTAATGCGGGGCAATCGTAAAGCGAGGCACCACTGTATTGAGATATGGTCTGGCTGACGGGTGAAGATGCAGGTGCCCAGAAGCGACCCTTCCCATGAGGAAATACAAGAGGATGTCTTGCTTAAACGAGTGTTCCCTTCAGCCTGATCTAACCCACAGTGACTGGGAGAGGCTCCGCTAGGATTCAGGCGGGGATACCCCTGTCCCAGCCCTATCTTGTGGTGCCAGGGCTGGAACTTGGAACATGCAAACCATGTATTCCCACAACTGCACTCTTTCCCTAAATAGAAATCCAGGCAGAAGTTTAAAACAGGCCCCGCTAAATCTACCGCTTGCCTCACCTTCCCGCTTTCTTCCTCAGGCAATTCCAGGCGCCTCCCACCACGTCTACGCCGACCAGCCCCACGCCTTTAACACCGCTGTGGAACAGATCTGCGACGCCATTGACTGATTGCACCCGGTGCAATCATGAGAAAGAAGCTTTCCGTTTCCGCAGCCAGACCACCCACCCGGTCGCTGGGACACGCACACGACAACCGCTCACGGGCCCTGAGGAGTGGAGTCACCACTCTGTGCTGGGTTGCTTGCAGCTCGGTCCCCCTCATCCCTACTTTACTTACCTCTGAAACTTTTATTCTCTGTAAAGGTTGCAGGCCACCTGCGTTGGGTTAATCTAGGCTGGAATGGCTCTTTATTTTCCACCTATTTCCTTTACCACCTTCATTGCTTCATCATATCTCTTGCTACACTTAAATCTGTCCTTCAACTTTCCATCTCTCTAGTCCTATCTCTGTCCACTCCCCCGCCCCATTTTCCTCCCTTGTGTTCCCCTCATCTTTCCCCTCCACCTGCCATTTTCTTGACCATTACTTTGCTCCACTTTTTTTTTGGCTTATTATATTCCCACTATATTTTAGGCTACAGAAAACCACCTTCGGTTTCTATTGGTACCCAAGCTTCATGACACGGATGCCAGAGTGTCGCACTACACCTGGCGTATCTCAAAGGCTTTGTTCGTTTCCTTCTCTTTAACTTCTCATAGTAACTTCTCAGATATCTGCTGCCAGAGGGATGATGGAGCAAATGCTTTGTGTGCTTGCTAGTTGGAGAAGCCATACAGAATCAAGGCATGGGCGCGATAAGAGTCTTGGCTACTCTGAACTGTTTTGGGGTGCTCTAGGACACTAGCCTTCACATTTGAGGTCACTCTCCTCAGGAGGATGACAGAAATCTCAAATGATTAATTCTCATTGGGCTTCTGAGGGAAGGATAAGGCTAACACGAAGTCCCAACCTCCAGTTTTCACCTGGGGTGAAGAGAACATGAAGGTCAGTCGTTCAGGTGTAGCGTGGGGGTCCACCATGTCACTGCTATGATGATGGAGGATCAGCTGTCTCTACTGACAGGATGGTCCTTAGAAAGCCAGCTAAACAATGAATCTCCTGGCCCTGGAGAGAGAGAGAGAGAAGCATGCCTACTAAGAGTCCAACGTCTTTCATGAGGTACAGGATTGGCCAGGATCCGAATGGCTTCTAGCCATCAGCCACAACCATTTATGTCATTTTAAAATTATAAAAGAGGACCCCTGTAGTCTTTTGAAGTGGCCTTTGGTGTAGGAAATCTGTATTTCAAACACACGCACACGGTGTGGCACAGTTCCTTGCACTGTGTGTTGTTCACATGTTCTGTTTCACTTCAAGATCTGCATTGCGATGGGTCTCGAAATGCGCCCATGACTTCCTGGTGTGGAGCAGGCAAAGAAAACCGGCGTACAGCTCCTAGGGAAATCCGTTGTGTCACGTGCTCCATCTAGCGGTAACAAAATGCAGTGGAGGTTGTAGTGGATGCAGGCTGTGTCTTCCTATCCCATAACAGAAAAGTCAATTCTGGGTGGGGAATTGAATTCCATAGCCATGGGATTCTTGGATTTGTACTTTAAAAAAACACACTCAACTGTTGAACTTTCTTTAATTCTTATACACATAGGCAAAGATTCTATCAGAGTATCTGTTTCAGCAGCTAAATACTTGCAGTGGCCTTGATTGGTTCTATTAACTTAAGATGTATGTGGTCTGTGGGGGTGTCTCTAATCCCCCTTGCTCCCCCGCTGCATGAAGTTTCAGCTGAGGTGAGGGAGATGCGTTTTCACGTAGGCAGACAAAGCTCTGTTCTTAATCCCCTCACGTTTATTGGAAATCTTGGCCTTTTTCGTTTATGTCCGCGTTGGCTCTGTGGTGCCACATTAAGAAACTTCCTTAACAATTGGATGTGGGAGGCTGTTTGAATCGCGGTCTCCGTTTCCTTCCTGTGTGGTGCTTTGTATAGAATTTACCCTGATTTATACTAAATTTTATATGTTTAATAAATGAGATGGCCGTTTTGAAAAATCGTGTCTTCCGGTTGCCTCATTGTTGACCTCTTGCCTCTGTGCCATTTCTGGTTGTCAAACCTTGTAGTTGGTGTCCTTCAAAACCCAGTAAACATGATTTGTAGGCACAGAATCCTGTCAAGTCCCCCCATGCTTGGCCCGGAGGTTCTGCATTTTAACCCAGTTCTGGAGAAAAATAACTTCCTAATGATGACCCCAAATGGTTTCCCCATTCTTCTGACCCATTTAGAATAATGCAGTTGGAAGGGGCCTATAAGGCTGTTGAATCCAACTCCCTTCTCAATGCAGGAATCCAAATCAAAGCAGATCTGACAGACTGTCCAATTTTCCCTTGGATGCTTTCAGCGTTGGAGCACCCAACACATCTAGAGGTACTTGGATTTATCGTCGTACTGCTCTAACAGTTAAGAAGTTGTTCCTTG